GGGAGTAATGGAGACACTTACACAGAGGAAACAACAGGTCTAAAATCTTGAGACTTCAGGCTGTAGGATCTTGTGAGCCATTTTATGCTAGTGGGATGGGTTTGAGGAGAAGAGTGACAATTTAATTGCCCGGGGTCTGTTTTGAGGATAACCCTCAAAGGGGCAGAGCAGAAGCAAGTACAGTAATGACATGCATTCAAAACTGAGATGATGGTGGTTTGGACTAGGTTAGTACCTGGTGAGGTAGTGAGGAGAGTGGTCAGAGTCTGATATATCTTGAAGGTAGAAATCAATAGAATTTGGTTAAAGGCAGGGTTGTGATATACAAAGAGCTGAGTATGGTTTGGTCAGGTTTTGGGTTTGAGTTAAGTAGAAGGCTAGTGTTGCCATTTACTGACATGGGAAAGGAGGAAGAAATGTGGATAAGGAAGTTGGGAGTCTAATTTTGGGAATGTTAAGTTGAAATGCCTGCTGAATAATATCCAGAAGATCTGAAGGCCATTGGATCTACAAGAGAATGGCTGACAGGTGAACTGTAGGTTAGAGGCAAGCAAAGTCACAAGACAGGATGAGCTCACCAAGCTCTGGGGGATAGATGCAGAAGAGGCATCCACATACCAGGTCCTGCTGCCCTTTAGTGTTTACAGGCCATGGAAGTAAAGGGACTCAAGGAAGGGAGAATGAGAAAGTGGACACCAGGGAGATCATGGGAGAGCCAGAAGAGCATAGTGTCCTAGGAGACAGATAAATAAAGTATTTCAAGAAGGAAGGAGAAATGAACTAGGTCAGATGCCACTGATAGGGCAAGTAAAGAAATTAAAATTTGACCATTGGCTTAAACAACATGTGGTCACCAGTCACCATACAAGAACTCAATTGCAATATATTTAAGAAAGAACAAAAATGGCAAGAGTGAATGGAGAGATCTAATATAGCTAATCCTCTGAAGTGTTTTTCTTTCAAGGGAAGTGAAGGATTGAGGTACAAGGTGAGGTGGGTGTCTTAGTCCATTTTGTGTGACTACAGTGGAATCCCTGAGACTGGGTAACTCATAAAGAATTGATATTTATTTATTRCCATTTTGGGGGCTGGGAGTTCAAGATTGAGGGATCCACGTCTGGTGAGGCCTTCTTGCTGCATCATCCCATGGCAGAGGGTGCAAGGGCCAGAGAGCATGTGTTGTGGGGAGAGAGAGGGAAAGTGGGAACCCACTACTGTGATACCTAACTGCCTTCTGTGACAACAGCACTAATCCACGCAGGAAGGCAGACCCCTCATGACCTAATCAACTGGTAGTGGCCCCATCTCTCAGCACTGTTGATTTGAGAATTAGATTTCCAACATATGGATTTTGGGGGACACATCCATACCAGTGAGGGAGATGTGGCATCCAGAAGTASTTTTTTTAGTAAAGATGGGAAATATGATGAAAGCTTATTTGTTTTTGGAGGGGAGGGATAATCTCATAATGTGGGACACTTGGTGAAATGAAAAGGAGTCATTGGTGAAACAGTTCTTGAAAAGGCAGGAGGGGCTGAAAAGTCACCTGCTAATGAAGGTTTTGCTCTCAGGTTAGAGGACCAACAGTTAACCCATACAACCAAGAGGGAGATGAACTATTTGTGCACAGATGCCACTAGGTTAAAAAAATTACTGAATCTGGATGAAGCTTGAGTAACGAGTGACCCAAAATAGGGTTCTACAGTGGCTACAGCCCTCTACACTTGTAGAACTTATGGCCCTCAGAAAACTTTCCCTGCCTTTTGCGTTGGCCCCTCAGCCATCACAGCTGGTAACTGTATAGTTTCTTATCTTAAAATTAAACATGGCATTGTTGTAATGAGTAGCTCACTTATGTTTAAATTGGCAGTAGTGAATATTTATTGAATCCTCTGTATAATCTCATTCAAACCTCTTGCCAAATCTATGGAGTTGGAACTATTACTGACTACCAGTTAACAACTGAGGAAACAGTGTAAGAGAAAATGAAGAACTGGGTTGAGATGATGAGTTGATTTAGCTTCTTGTTTTCTGACATGCTGAAGTTTACTCCTTAGCCATACACCTTACTGCTTTGTGTAAGTAATTGGGTCTATAAAATGCTTAATTTCTCCATGTGAAAAGTTAACATTGCATATGATTTGATTCTCTTATGTGATTGTAATCTGAGATCAAAAATTTTTTTTGATAGTTTCTTCGCACTGCCCTCATTTTTGCCTTTAAAAAGCCTTTTACAGAAGTTATTTCAAGCTACACTAAAAGCTGTGGGTAGTAAAACATTATTCTTGTGGTAGTTTTCCTTTATAGGTCAGATCTTAAATTAGAAATTGACAGCAAGATGTTTCATCTATTCTGAAGGGGATGAGAGCATGGGAACGTGTCTTCAGAGTCAAAATGATCAGAACTGAGATTTTTCTTAGGCTCCTTGCTTGCTCTCTGTCTGGCCTTCTAGGTCTGCTTTCTCATTTGAAGAATAGGAGGAGTAGTGATGCTTACTGCTGTGATGGTCCTGTTAGAGATGGTATGTTCTCAAGAACAAGCACAGAGCCCAGTCGTCTTGTGTCAGTAAATGGCAGGCAAGTGGACAGTCTCTGTCAGTTCCTGAACAGCCACCTAGCAGATGGTGGCCAGGGAAYTGCTGACTGCATCATTTATCTGATCACCTTAATTCCCAACTGGAGAATAACTGGTTCAGAGTTTAATTTCAGAAATGTTTCTTATGTGTACATATTAGGAATGACTTATTAGGTAGCATTGGGAAAGAAAAAATCTTTGTAGAATATACTGTCTTTATTTCAAATAAGATTTCAGAACATGTTGTCTGACAGTGGGAAATGGAGCTGTCCCAGAGAGTCTAGGATGTATGGTTTGTGGTAAGCATGAGGCTCTATATCTTCTTGGGTGTGGGGGAGCCTCCTTGTAGTCCCTAAATTTTCTCATCTCCGGTCACTTAATCTAGCCATCAGTAGATTGTCTAGACTATTTTAAGTGAATTCCCTTCAGAGGAGATGGGAAATCCATAAATTGAAATTAATCCTTGTTTCCTTATTCCCTTGAAACTGTGATCTGATGGTTAGAGAAAGGGCGATGACTGAGATTATTCATGTAGTCACAGGCTCATGGGCTGTGAGTAGTATGTTTTTTAAGTCAGTGTGGGTAGTAGACAAAGCAAAGGTCTCTGGTTATCTACAGTCTCAATACACATTAAACAAATCGACCTGGAAAGAAACCCCAACGTAGACAAAATCTTGCATTAGATGACATTGGGACTATCAGGCTGAATGAAGGGTTCCTTGTCCTCAAAGAAATTATAGTTAATTTGGGGGTAGGCTTTGTCAGTCCACATCCAAKGGCTTCATTCATCCCTGACTGTGGAAACTTTCTCCTCCATCATGCTGCTCCTACGGCAGCTGTGATCATTCCCTGAATGTCCAGTTCCATTTATAGAAGTTTTCACAATGGATTTGGTTGTCAGGGTGTCTTAGGCTTATACGGATGCTTATTTGAATGTAGCAGGGATTGTGTTGCTGCTGCTACCAGAGCCAGGCTTCACTCTACTCTGTTATAACATGGTGGTCTTTCTTTCCTTGCCTGGTGAATTTTCACCAGAGTGTTGCTTGTTCTATGTACTTAACAAAGAATAGTATTTTGTTGAAATACATAGGTCATTATAAGTGGCATGATGATAACAAACATGTGCACAAAGAATTTCTAAGTTGCACAAAGTCTTCGTTTGTCTTCTGGTACTTTGCACATGGCCTGAGAACATAACGATTCTACTGAGATATGTTAAGAGCACAGGTCATGTTTTCATTTATGGATTCATGCTCTAAATGGTTGTCAAAACATGCAATTTCTATAGATAAACAGTATTTTTAAATTATGTAACTTTTTTCAGGGCATTTTGACACACTGCGTGACTAATCTTCAGGTAGAATTATGCAAGTGGAGAACTTTTGATTCATGGCCTCAGATTTTCCTTTCAATATCTGCTTTTTGCATCTTTGTATCCCTCCTTGCTTTCTTCTACAGTATCCACTGTCCTCTTTCCCAAGGGTGTTTGCATTCTAGTTGACATAGTACTCCCATTCAGCTAAGCAAGGGGAAATGAGTTAAAGATTGTGAAGTTCAGGTTTACATGTCAGTGGCCACCCATGTTGTAAGGTGGGCTCCAAATACACATATTCAAGGGGGTATCTGCCCTCTGTAAGGAATATGGCACAAAACTTGAATACAGTTCCCTCATGACTAACTTCTATCTGCAGAGTCAATTCAGAATTTATTATCTTTTCTTTTTTGCCTACTCTAATTTTTTGAAGATGAAGATTTAGGGGCAGAGCAGAGCAGAGCAGAATGAGCATATGGGCTTTGGAGTAAATCTGAGCTTCATGTATGTTTGACCTTGTACACAGACATTCTCTGGATCTCAGTTTCCTCTCCCATGAAGTGTGGTTGTTAGGGTTGTTATGACTGAAAAAATATGTAGAAACTATAGCCCTGTACTACAGTATAAAAATTACAGGTTTATGGCGGAAGAAACAAACTCTGTTTATTGTAATTAGCATAAACTCTAGAGTTTCTACAGGGAAAAATGAAAACAATCATATTTTTTTTCTGCATAATATCAACTTTGTTAATAGTTTGTAGCAGATGTCATTTGTGCCAATAATAAGTTATTTGGAGGTATGTATTGATTTAAAGTAAGCCAAGTATAGCTTATGGAAACTTGTTATATTCATGTTCTCCAACATAAAAATGTAATGTGAATATTCACAATGTAATACATCTTTTTTCTAAATTAAAAAATGGTTCATTGAGTTAYCTAAGTACATTTGAGAGATGATTTGAGTTCGCGAAGCTTAATATTTATGAGATGCTACAGACATATATTTATTATGCCAATGTGGCACAGCCTTGTGAGGTGGGTACCTTATTCCGTTGTTATGTCCATCTCTGTGTTCTCGTTGCAGAGTTCTACAATTCTTTTTTTTACTCCACAGATTTACCAGTAAAGAGACATAGAGAGTATGAGCTGGTGACTCCAGTCAGCACAGATCTAGAAGGACATTATCTCTCCCATATTCTTTCTGCAAATCACAAAAAGAGGTCAACAAGGGACGTGTCTTCCAACCCTGAGCAACTGTTCTTTAACATCACAGCATTTGGAAGAGATTTTCATCTGCGACTAAAGCCTAACACTCAACTTGTAGCTCCTGGGGCTGTTGTGGAATGGCATGAGACATCTCTGATGCCTGGGAATATAACCGACCCCATAAATAAGCATCAACCCGGAAGTGCTTCAGAAAGAATCTGGAGAAAAGAGCCTTTGCAGACTAACTGTGCTTATGTTGGTGACATCATGGACGTTCCAGGAACCTCTGTTGCCATTAGCAACTGTGATGGTCTGGTAAGACTCATTCCATCCAGTGTGTGTGTGTGTGTGTGTGTGTGTGTGTGCACACTTGTGTGTGTTTGCAGGTGTTTGGAATTCAGCATGTCTTCAGCATGGTTTGGAAGGTAGAGGTGGAAAGGAAGCCTCATTGTTATATTTTCAGTGCAGGAAAAGGCATTAGAAAACGTTTTACTGTCAAAGATGTGTGCTTTGACTTAATTTGAGACGTGAAGACAGCATTATTCCAAGAGACAAAAAAGAACTATTTTAGYATTTTTTTGTTTTCCCTTATGTTATGTTGGTGGATTTTATTTCCTTTTTTCTTTTAAAACTTTCTGAAAGCTTCCTAAACAAACATAAATTCTTCCAAAAGGATGGTATTTCACTTCTTATGTGGAAACTTTGGGTATCTTCTTAAAGTATTTTGAAAGCATTCTTTAGCTTTCTCACAGAATGGTGAAGTGGGAAATGTAGCAGATCCTTTGTCAGAAATTGGTCCAACTAGCATTACTTTCTGAACATGAGGCTTACTTCTGTGTGGTGGTTATGATTGATTTTTTAAAAAAATGTTCAAATAAATATCCTTTTAAAAATGTTCAAATAAAATATCCATGAATTGACTTTCAATTTTGCAGCAGAGGCCAATAGTAACCAGCTCTTTTTTACGTGCTTCACAGATGTGAAATATTTTGATTTTGTGTCTCTAAGTATTACTTGAAAATTGTGTCAGAGTTTTATGCCTCTTGCATTCATAGCTCTCCCTAAGTCTTTGTTCAAAAAGAACAACCATTTATCTTCCTGTGATTGTCAGGTTGCTGTTTCTGGGCATTCAAGGCATAAAAGGAATAAATTATGTAAAATGGTACTTGCTTTATAATACTTTTGAGTAAAGTATTTTGAGTATCAATCCAATCTTTTTTTTTTTTTTTTTTGGTACCAGGGATTGAACTCAGGGGTGCTTAACCACTGAGCAACATCCCCAACCCTTTTTAAAAATTTTATTCAGAGACAGGGTTTCACTAAGTTGTTTAGAGCCTTGCTAAATTGCTGAGACTGGCTTTGAACTTGAGATCTTCCTGCCTCAGACTCTCAAGCCGCTGGAATTACAGGTCTGCGTCACCATACCCAGCTTGAGTATCAATCTTAATTTAGTGCCAGTATATTATTTTACGCTATAAAATTAAAAAAAATCTCTGTTAAGATTTGAAACTTGGGACATTAGCTTTAAAATCAGGTTAGGGAAGGAAAATGCAAATAAATTATTTTAATGGATGATCACAGTAACTTTTAAATCCTAGTGGTCAGTGTTTTTCTTATTGTACATGTCATTATTTAATCATAGATAATAAGTAAAAGGAAAATTAAGTGTGTATAAACATTATTAATTAGGATTATTKATTATTTAATTTCTCTCTCTTTTTTTTTCTTTTTTGGAGGTGGTAGGGATTAAATCCAGGACCTTGTGTGAACTAGACAAGCACTCTACCACTCAACTATGTCCCTAGGCCTTAATTTMTCATTATCAGGATACATTATCTTTTGATATCATATACACTTTAGAATAATATAAGTGTGTATAAGACTTGTAGACTGCAAGTGCAAGTCTTTACTTTTTGGTTCATTAATTAATTAAAAACTRTTGGAAGCCAGAAGTGATAAGAGAAATAATTATGTTTACAACCTTATGGAGCTCAAAGATGGTTAAATTTGCCTTAAAATTTCACTGTCTAAAATTTCTGGTGCTATTAAAATATATATAATAGTTGAAGATATTTATGTAATTAAATATATGTGTACTTCATGTATGTATGTGAATCATGTTTACCTTAAATTGTGGTTAAGGAAATACTTTTTGGAGAGATTTTATGAATGAGACAGTTTCTAAAGAGAGGGAAGTGGGCCAGGTATTGAGTTGGTCCAGGAACGGGGTAGGTCTGGCCTCATCAGGCAGCGCTCACTATGTGAACATGCTCAGATGGAAGCCTCCTTTAGTTTCCAGYTCACAGCAGCCCTGTGCCAGGAGGAAGAAAGCAGATGGTGGCAGAAACAGAAGCAGGGTTACGGAGAGCAGATTAACAGACTGGAGGGATAATACAGTGGCTATTTCCTTGAACTGGGGATGAATTCTTAAAATCGCAGAATTGGTGTTGGTCAGGATAAACCTTTAGCAGAGACAAAATGGGAAGTTTAATTGATGAGAATGTGAATAAATTTGGGTGATCTGTGGCTGCCTCAGCTCTTTTTGTTCCTCTGATGTGCTACATATGGACTTAAGCTTCAGCTTCTTGACCTTTGGAGGGAAGCAGGGTTACTGAGATAATGCAAATGCTGGAGGACTGACCTGGTGGCATAGAAAGCCACTGCCCTAGGAAGCTCTGGGATTATAATCAAATCCAAATTATGCTAGTAGAAAGTATGGCCACTTCTGTCCTAAAAACATGGATGGGGAAATCTGAGTCTAGCAAGCATGGAGTGGAGTCTCTGATATGGAAGAGAATACCATTGAAGCTCTATCTGGAGGGGAGATTTAATCCTTTTGACTAGGTTAATTTTAGAATGGTGCAGCAGGGATTTCAGTGATCTGATTTTCTGCATGTGTCCTGTGAAGCTGCTGTACCTGGGAGCAGCCACAGGTATTTACTCTTAAGATTGGTGGGTTCTTAGGAAGGAATCTCCAAGAGTGAGATTCCCTACCTCTTTCTCTCTTAGGCTGCTATGTGAGTTTGAAATGGGGAGCACATGAGACTGAATTAACTTGTATTAAATAATGTTTTTGATTTAATAATAATAATMATCATCATCATCCCAGTGCTGCTCAAAGTGGGCTTTGTAGACTCAGGTTTATGACTAGATAAATATAGGAAAAAATTTATAGCAATTTGACAGTTATTGCATGTGTGTTGGGTCTAATAATGATTTTGAAAGTAGGGCTGGTATTTCATATGTTTCATTTTATTTTTCTAGTAACGTTTTTATTGCGTTTTAAGATTGATCTGAAACTGGGGAGTAAAGAAATAGCTTCTTTACTGCAGATAGTTTGAGAAGCAAGCAGCATTACTTAGCTGATTTTATGCACTCTGGACATAGATAAGTGACTGAAATATTCAGGTGGAGCTGGTATTTCCTGGTAATTATATGGAGTGAGCACAGAAAAGATACTTCAACATGGGCTTCAGTGAAGAGGACAGAAAACCCTCAAGTCACATGTTCAAAGCTAAGGATTAGAATGTGATGTAGACAGAGATATGCATAATAACTAGAATATTATTCAGTGGTTTCTGAATAAACAAGGTCTCCTGCACCAAGGAGTTGACAGAGATTCTTTCCTAGTAGGATCAAGAACAATATCTGTCCCTGGCTAGCATTGGCCCTTTCCTGTTCTTTGTCAAAATTATAATTTATGAGTGACTTAGAATTCTTAACAGCTTTATTCTGTTCTAGACCACTGTGCCTACAGGTAAGGATTATTGAGCTATTCAGTCATCGAATTATCCCYACTTTCTGACAGCATCCAATCTAGAACCAAGTCCTGCTTCTCTAGATTGCTCTTCTCCCCAAAATCACCTAACCAACTAAAGCCCAAATCCTAATTAACATAGGTTCTTTCTAACAGTCTCTTACTAAGATGCTCATGGTTCTCTCTGCTAACCTGTAATAAATAAACTCAGCTTGTCAACTCCAGGTGTGGTCCCGATGTTGTTGGCTGGAGGGCATTGACATGTTTCATCTCTTTGCCTCTCTGAAGWGAGAGTCTGGTGGTGAGGATCCCTGGTGGCAGGTGTTTCCCATACTTCTTGGTGGGAACACACTGATAGCTGAACACCTCAGATGAAATGCATTTCTTCCACAGAGCCCTGCCATTTGCTTTGTCACACCAATAAATCTCTCSTCTGAGTAATGACAGCTTACAGTCCTATTTGTGGTCTCCAAATTTGCCAAAATAAAGGTTACTTGGTTAGTAGGCTTTATGTCATGAGTTCCAAAATATAAAGAAATTGAATTTTTCTAAATTTGCTAAAACAATATTGCCTTGTTCATCCCGCTGGGTTGGCATCTGAGGGAACTCGTGGAGAGTTGAAGAACTGACTAGATAATTGCTCTCCTGGGTTACCCAAGTTCAGTGATTTCCTTGTGGGCTGATTTTAAGATCAAGAGAGCTTATCTAGGACAGTTTTTCAACATTTTTACATATTTTTAATTTTTGCTTCAAATGAAATTACGAGGAGTTGTCTAATAAAATAACATGTAAAACTGATAAACTCAGGGAAGTTCTGATTAAAACACAGGCAGAAGATGCTTTTCCTCCTGTCTTTCTTCCTCCTTCCTCATCCTTGCTCCAATTATTACTGGACTCCCTGAGGCATCTGGCAGAAGTCTTTACTAATAGGGCAGGGGTTTTGGAAGTTAAGCTTAGCAACTTAGGGATAACAAGAGACTCTTCTAAAATATCTGACAGTCACATCTGGCTAATGTCAGAGGCATTGTTAGATTTTGGACAAGACCAAATGAATTCTTTGTAGGCCATTGCAAACTTCTACTAAAATAAGCCCTAGTTTCTTGCCTTAAAATTTTTGTATTGGGATTTGGTGCCTTCAAAAACATGAAGTTGCTAGATTGCTCTAGCAATTGCTCTAGATGCAGAGGTACTTTTTAAAAAGGCTATTAGACAATGTGCATGTGATTGAGAACATTTGACTGATGATTGTAGATTCAGCTCAACCTATCTGGTAAAAGAAATATTTGGTACTAAAAATAGGTACAAATTTGTAGCCATTTACAGTGTATTTAGAAAAGAGGGTTTTTGAGGACTGATCTTTAGATGTTGACATTTGAACATCTGCTTTTAGAAGAACCCGATCTCTAAAGGCCTATGGCCTCCCACCTTTTCCTTCCACAGAAGATGTRTTTGTTTATTAATAAGGCAGAGGGGAGATCTGTGTCTTTCTGGTTTATATGACATGATGACCTTAGAAAGTCTGAGGAACAAAGGACTGAAGCCATGTTTTACCTCCAGG